CTGGTGATTGATAGTGAGTCTTGTTGTTTATTCCTATGACCCTGCTTCAACTGATTGGCACCCACACACCTACTTTGATCAAGTATGTGTAAAATGTATGGCTTGGCTCATCCCTTTTGATTGAAGTTAATCTTACTTGACTTAATGTCCAGGCTTTTAATGAAGGTGTCAGTTATTGCCCTTATTGCCTAGTGTTAACACTAGAAGTGCCAGAATTACATAACTACTCGAACTGCCACAAGCGGTCATTTTGAATGTTAGATTGCAAACTCTATGGGCCCTATTTTAACGATCTGAAATGCAAGTATCAAGCGCGAAGCGCAAGTAACTTTGGGCGGATCTTGGGCGCTGTTGCTATTTTACCGGCGGGATAAATGACTCTTGTGCCTGACGCAAGTTTAAAAGGAGTTGGTCTGAAATTGATTCATTGTTGATAGGTGTGGTTTGGGCGTAACGTGAAATAAACCAATCAGAGCGTCATCCAACTTACCCTTTAAGAGCAGGAGCGCATGTTGCATGGCGGATTTACCCAGGAAATCCAGAACCGCCAGAAGCGGTTCACAGCTGAGGAGACTGACATTCTTGTCAGGGCAGTGAAAGACGTTGTATGGGGATGGGATATATATATATATATATATATATATTAGGGCTGTCAGTTTAACGCGTTATTAACGGCATTAATGCAAACCCATTTTAACAGCGTTAATTTTTTTTATCGCGTGATTAACGGTCTTTTTATCCTAGCAAACTTTGTAGTTTTTTCACATGCTTTTGCAACAGGACACGGCATGCGTCCTGATCCTTTTCGGCGTCTCGCGCTCGTCATCCACTCAAAGCCGGCTCGCAAGCCCAAACGTGTGTTTGCGGCGTGCCTGTTGTTTTGTTTACGGTCTAGATCCGCTTGTGCTTTGGTCGAAGAAGCAACAAAACGTTTGTGCCGCACACACTCGTTTCGGCTTGCGAGCCGGCCAAATAGTAACGTTACGTTTTGAGTGGATGACGAGCGCGAGATGGCCGTAATGGATGACCTTAGAAGATTCTGAATGGAAAGTTTACTTTTAAAAAGTTGCCAAATTGTCCCATTGACAAGACCAAGTGATCTGTGTGTTTTTTCATTGTGAACTGAGCGATCATCATCGCAGCACGTCCAGTCTGAAACACCACTTGATGTTGGCCAAGCAAACACACACACACACACAGATGATGCGAATTCTCCACCCCCTCGTCAATATCAGGACCTCGTCAGTATTTCTTTCACCCTTTTATTGATAGACAGTGTTACATTGTGTGAGAGATTATTTATATATGTTAGTGTGAAATTGAACACTATTCCAATGTTATTTTCAATAATATATATATATATATATATATATATATATATTTGTTTTTTTTTTTCCTGGTTCTTGACAGACAAACTAAGGGCCCTTTCACACCTAAACTAAGGGCCCTTTCACACCTACTCTGTTTGGTCCGGACTTTCTGACTTTTCAGTTTGTTCCGAATCAAAATTATAGGTGAGAAACCTCCCCCGGACCACGGTCCGGACCAAACAGATGAAATTTGGTCAGACGAAAAGAGGTAGTCTCGGTCTGGATCAAACAGAAAAAAGGTTTGGTTCGTTTATAGTGTGAAAGCATTTATTTATGGTTCGGAATTTCAGACCTTTTACAGGAAGTTCTGGTGGTTCCCATAAAGCCGAAAAAACAGAAGGTGGCAGGAGAAATGAGCCGTGTTGCACATGAGGAGATGAGGAGACGAGGTTTTTAATAAAAGTATGGTCTGATGACATAATAAGAAGTCAACATGCAGTCTTCTCCTCCTTTCCTGCCGGCGACGATAAAATGTTCGTACGACGAGGACGTTCCACTGCATGAAAAGTGGGGTTTTCGTCCCTGTAAACTGCCGTGAATCCCACTAATCTCTGGCAGTCATTGGACGTTTTCAGCGTTGCGCGTTCGCCTGTGCCCGAAAATCGTCGGAAACGTATAGGCACCCCCACCTCCGCTCACGCCTCTGCCCCTGTGTGGGATTAACAACTCTATTACCATATGAAAAGCAGCAGCATCTTCAGCAGCCCGACCAAGCTTCTCAGTCATTGGGTTAAACAAATGACATCATCAAATCATCAATCACATCTGATTGGTTGGTAGATCTGGTCATCCTGGACCTTTAGAAATACAGGCTTGGGTAAACCCCTCCCCAAAAATAACGATTATTATTTATAAATTATATATATATATATTGGATCTCAGATGTTAAATGTATCCAAAGTTCGTTGGAGTTGTAGAAACTTGATGGTGTGTCTGATTAAAACACATGGAAAAAATACCAGTCCTTTGCTCTCTTTTATTTTCAGTTCAGGATGATAGTCTTAATTCACATGGAGTTCCAATGAACAGATGTTAATGGAGGGACAGGATAAACAGGATGTACAAGATGTTCTTTAGTCATCAACGCATCCTAAGGAAAGGACATGGTTGGGTGTCCATTCCAACCACCACACCTCACCAATACAAAAGGAAAAAAGGGAGGAAGTGAGGTCTACTTATAGACCTTGCCCAGGGGGTGTATGGGTAATGTAGTGAAACTGACAAAAGGATTGTGGGATATGAAGTGCAAATATGTAAGGAGAAAGAAAAAAAAATAAATAAAAAGTATAATTAAAGGATCAAATTCACAACAGCCGCCCCCAAATACAGTCATGTATTTGCTATTACTCATCTATTTCAGGTAATGGAATCAACTTAGCAACTGGACGTACATACGTCTTTCCATTAATATCAATCTCAGCTACTCTGACACGTCCATCCTGACTAGGTAAGAGACGTACTACCCTGCCAATGGGCCATGATGCTCTTGGGAGTTGAAAATCAATTACTAACACGACAGCAGAGTCATTTAGATTAGGTTTTTCTCGATTCCATTTTTGACGGAGCTGCTGACCTGGTAAGTAATGTCGGATAAAAGATGTCCAAAACTGGTCAACGAGGGCCTGGCTGTGGCGCCAAGATCTGCGGCCAAGGAGCTTAGTATTGGCATAAATCACCTGAGGTAAAGACGAATCTCGCCGCCCCATGAGGAGGAGATTTGGAGTAATGGGGTCGAGGTCTGAAATGTTTGAAGAGGCGTAACCAAGTGGCTTTGAATTTAACACTCCTTCAACTTCTGTCAAAACGGTCCGTAGGACTTCCTCTGATACGGTTTGACTGCCGAGTACCACCCGCAATGCTGTTTTAACAGAACGGACCTCTCTTTCCCATGACCCCCCAAAATGAGGAGCTTGTGGTGGATTAAACTTAAATTTGATCTGCTGCTTTTCCAATTTGTCTTGTAGCTCAGTGGGAAGGTTCTGGAAGGCTTCCTTTAACTCTCTTGCAGCTCCACGGAAATTGCTTCCCTGATCACAAAGAATCTCATACGGCCTACCTCTCCTGGATATGAAACGACGTAGGCCCATTAGAAAGCTGTCCACATCTAAACTGCTCAACAAATCAAGGTGCAGGCATCGAGTGGTCTGACACTTAAACAGAATGCCCCATCTCTTCTCTGTTCTACGGCCAATATTTACATGGAAGGGACCAAAACAGTCCATTCCGGTGGACCAAAAGGGAGGTTTGAACAACCGGAGCTTGGAGAGTGGAAGATCTGACATTTGAGGAATAGATGGCTTGGCTCTCCACTTCCTACATTGAAAACAAGACCACTGATGTTTTTTTACGGCTTGTCTCCCTCTAATTATCCAGTAATCGCGTCGAAGTTCTGAGAAAACTCTCTCTGGACCAGGATGGAAAAGTTTCTCGTCACAGTCCTTAATAATTAACTGGGTCAATGGATGTTTGGGGTCGAGGACGATTGGATGAACCATTCCAGGTTCCATATCCTCTACACGCCTGAGCTTACCGCCCAATACAATAAGTCCCGTTTCTTCATTGAATTCGGGAGAAAGTGTTAGGAGACAACTTTGAGGTTCAATGGGCTTTCCTTTCGTTAAACACTGATACTCGGAGGGAAAACTTTGTTGCTGGGCTTGTCTCAAAAGGAGATTTTGGACAGAAGAGGCGTCACAAGAGTCCTCACTATGTTGTCGCAGTAACACATTTGTTGCAAACTGTAACTCTGACCATGATTTAAAACGGGCAGGATCTGGGAGTACAATATCATCCAATTGTGTTAACCCACAAAAGAGTGGTTTACGAAGCTCAGGATCAGGACTATCAGATGTAGATACTAGATTTTTGGGCCATTCATCTGGAGGAAATTTCAGTAACGTTGGACCTTGTCGCCATCTATGATCAGGTTTGGCTAGCTCTACAAGAGTTTTGCCTCTCGTAATGTCATCTGCTGGATTCTGTGCAGATGGAATATATCTCCAAGAAGAGGGATCAGTGAGCTCTAATATTTCAGTGACTCTATTAGCTACAAAAACTTTGTAACGGCAGGAGAGGGAATGCAGCCAAGACAAGACAGTTGTCAAGTCGGACCATAAGACAATATTTGTCAAAGGATGAGTCAATTCATTCTGCAGGAGTTTACAAAGCTGTGCACCTGTTAGAGCAGCGCAAAGTTCAAGACGAGGGATGGATATTTGCTTTTTTGGGGCAACTCGAGATCTTGCCATGATGAAGGAAGTATGTACCACACCCTTGTCAGTTCCCATTCGCAAATAGGCTACAGACCCGTATGCGCTCTCTGAGGCGTCGCAAAATATATGCAACTCTCTGGATGTGATTTGGTCGGATGGTAAACTTAGATAACAACGTGGAAGCTCTATTAATGACAGGTCAGGGAGCTCAGTTTCCCAAGCCTTCCAGGCCTGTTGAATAGGATTTGGCATAAGGGGATCATCCCAGCCCCGGGACTTCATCCAGCATTGTTGTATGATGACTTTAGCTCGCGTTGTAAAGGGGGTTATGTAACCCAATGGGTCATACTGACTGGCGATAACTTTATATATATTACGCAGGGTTGTTGTCTTATACTCCACTGTTCGGGATCGATACCCTAATGAATCAGAGGGACAGTGCCAACTCAGACCCAGAGCTCCTTCTTTGGGATCTAAACTGTCTTGATTGATCCACAGTTCAGCATTCTCAGACCTGGCTTCAGGAGGGAGATGTCGGACAACACCAGGCTGGTTACTTGCCCACTGTCTAATTTCAAATCCTCCACTCATCAGTAAAGAACGCATTCGGTCTAAGAAGTTCTTAGCAGATTGCACATTTGGGAAACTCTCTAAGCAGTTGTCAACATAGAATGACTGAAGTACAGAGCTCGCTATATCTTCATACCCTTCTTGGTGATCATGGACATGCCTTTGTAGAGCATATGTTGCGCAACATGGACTACATACCGTGCCAAAGGGCAAAACTTGCCATTCGTAGATGTCAGGTGGATTTGTGCTCTGCATATTGCGCCACAGGAAGCGTAGGAGAGAACGGTCTTCTGGTAATAGCCTAACTTGATGGAACATGGATTTTATATCCCCACTAATGGCCACTGGGCACTGACGAAACCGGAGTAGGACACCAAGTAAGGAAGGGCCCAACTGTGGACCAGGAAGAAGTTGACTGTTAAGTGACACACCTTTATATTGATAGGAACAATTGAAGACTATTCTCCTTTTTCCGTTATGCTCCACAATATGATGAGGAATATACCACGATTCATCAGATGAGTCATGGGGAAGTTCCACTTTGGAAACATAACCAGATTCCTCCAACTTAGCAATCTCTTGGTTGTACACAGCAGCAGTTTTAGGATTTCTCTGGAGGCGTCGTTCGATACATCTGAGAGAAGACATAACTGCATTTGGTGAAGCCCGCAGCTTTATGGCGGAAGAAGCACGCAATAACGGAGTGGCATATCTTTGCACACCATCCACATCAACTTTTTTAGACTTGGAGGCCAACAATTCCATAGCTGCCTGATCTTGCTTAGACCTAGTAATGACTTTCTCATTCCTGAAAGGAAGGATGTCTACTTTCCATAATTTCTCCACATCATGGCGAAGTTCTTCTAGGGGATTAGCGATGGTAAAAAGACACTGAGTCTCATCAGTGTTAGGAATCGGTATTGGGCCTTGAAGTACCCATCCTAACCTGGTCTGTATTGCAGCTGGAGATTTAGGAGGCCCGAAATACACCTGATCAATGGGATTTATCAGGTGTGGATAGTCTGCACCGATAAGAACAAGTGGTTGGACATTAGAGAAGGCTGGAAGGGGTAAGTCTCGAAGATGTCTGAAACGTCTCTGCAAGATCTCAACAGGATACGTCTGTTCTGCCAGTCCCAATCTAGCAGCAGAAAAGGCATTGGAAATGGAATACTTCTTTTCTGGATTGGTCATAGAAGATATTTCAAAGGTTACAGAAGAACCTTCAAGTGCAAGGGTATCTTGACGTACAGTTCTAACAATTAGGGACTCAGGTACCCCATTGAGGCCCAAAGACTCAGATGCTTGAGGTAGCAACATGGTACGTTCTGATCCATCATCTAAGATGGCATAGGTTTGCAAGGATCTTCCTTTATAATGGAGAAGTACTTCAACAACTTTAAGCAAGACCCTACCAGAACCTCCAAGGCGACTAAGATAGAATGTACCGTTATCTTGGTCACGACAATTAACTCCATGAAGGATACCAAGATGTCTGCCTTTGCACTGTGGACAGGGTTTCTTCAAGTCACAGTTGACAGCTAGATGGTTAAGCCCGCATCTCCAACATCTTTTGTTCTCTCTAATCCATGCATCCTTCCTGGTGTCTTCTAGAGATTTAAAAGAGGGGCACAGGCCAATGAAATGATCTTTACTGGAACAATAGGCGCATGAATATTTGGAACTCCATTCTCCATCTCTCACATTCTGGGGTTGCTTATTAATGGATCTTGGCACAACAGAATTACTGTTAACTCCGTACAAGACTGTTCGAGTGTTAACGGAAGTCTTTGGTTGAGGTTTACTCAGGAATGGTTTTGGAAAGTCACTAACCTGATCAGCCATTGCTTGACACTCAGCTTCTTCTTGGAGCCAAGCGGAAAAGCTAATCAGGTTGTAGCTTTGACCCTTTAGGATTGTACGGGCATAACGGGCAAAGTTGGTCACATGCTCTGTGGGCAGTTTACTGAGTAGTTGCTGTACATGAGAAGCACAGGATAATTCAGATTTAACTTGGTCTTGGCCCGAAGATTGGAGCATGCCAACCAAAGCTCGAACCTTTAATGCGAAGCTACTAAATGCTCTGCTGTCACCTGGTCTCACCCTGGGGAGAGCTAGAATGGCTTTGATTTCTCTCAAAACTAGTTGGTGAGGTTGCCCATATTTCTGCTGTAGTGCAAAAAGAGCCATACTGTAAGGCCTAGGATCGTTAGCATAAGCTAAAGCTAGATCACGAGCTGGAGAAAATTTTAAATGATCTAACAAGATATGGAATTTGTAATGTTCTGGCTCATGGGGTGACAACAAATTTGTCAATGCTAGCTGCAACATTGCAAATTCTTGGGGATCATCATTAACAAGGAAAGGAAAGGTAGGTCCCTGAACACGAGAAGTAGGATAGGAAGGAACAGGATATGATGCATAATATGGTTGGGAATATGGATAAGGATGAAGGAATGGAATTGCAGTTGACTGGGTAGTGGGAACAATTGGTTGAATATGTGGGGCAGGAGGTTGTACAACATCATTCCCTACCTGACCTACAGATTGCATGTGAGGGCCTACATTAGCTGAGGCTACATGAGGAATTGCCGAGCTAGAGGATGGTCCTAATGGCTGTGAATACTGAGAAACAGCATACCGAGGCTGTGGAGGTAACTGTGCTGATGTTACTTGTGAGGATAACTGAGAATGAACCATGGCAGAGGAAAAGGAACTACATGGTAAAACTGGTTGTGGTGGACCAGTTGGTTGTACCAACACTGGTGATGTTTGCACTTGAGGGGACTGACAATTAGAAGGCCCAGGAACCAATGGAACAATAGAAGGTTGTAACATACTAAATTGTAGTTGTGATGGTATATCATGTGTGTGCATCTGTTGGGGTGGACTACGTAACAATGAGGAAGGAGGAAGAGGCAGAGAACTAGGCCTACTAAATGGAAGCAGTGAAGGAACAGTTGAGGAATTACATTTCTCACATGTAGGTTTCTTTTCAGCTGTCTTAATACATGCACACAATTCTTGAACAATAGATGGATTAACTAATGCATTATCATCATCATCAGAAGCATCATCAAAAGACTCAGAAAATTCAGAATGTCTGGAAGAAACTACTAACTGTGACATTTTAGACATCATCTCACCAAGCATACCCTTAAGTCCAAGTATTTCTTGTTTAACATCCATATCGAGCAAATCATGTTGAGGCTGTTCACAAGGAGCCGATGAGCTTGGGGAATGTCTTAAAGGTGGATTTTCATACTGAGTTTGGTGATGATCACTTACAACTAGTGTTGGTGAGGGAGGCGGAGGAGGACCATATTCTCTCACCATACAGTCAACAAAACGGGCAGGAGGTCTTCTGCTTCTTAGGCTGCGCCGGATTGCAGGTCTTGCATGGTAATCCATTCCACCAAATTTCTATCTCCGGCTCGAAGGACCATATATTGGATCTCAGATGTTAAATGTATCCAAAGTTCGTTGGAGTTGTAGAAACTTGATGGTGTGTGATTAAAACACATGGAAAAAATACCAGTCCTTTGCTCTCTTTTATTTTTAGTTCAGGATGATAGTCTTAATTCACATGGAGCTGACACACATGATGCCAATGAACAGATGTTAATGGAGGGACAGGATAAACAGGATGTACAAGATGTTCTTTAGTCATCAACGCATCCTAAGGAAAGGACATGGTTGGGTGTCCATTCCAACCACCACACCTCACCAATACAAAAGGAAAAAAGGGAGGAAGTGAGGTCTACTTATAGACCTTGCCCAGGGGGTGTATGGGTAATGTAGTGAAACTGACAAAAGGATTGTGGAATATGAAGTGCAAATATGTAAGGAGAAAGAAAAAAAATAAATAAAAAGTATAATTAAAGGATCAAATTCACAACAATATATATATATATATAATCCTGTAATCAATCAATCAATCAATCAATTTTTTATTTATATAGCGCTTTACAACAACCATGCGTTGATCAAAGCGCTGTAATAAAAATAAACCTCTTACTGGAGACTATATTCATGTGATATAGCCATATGTTACATTTTGTTTTCATTTTACAGTTTTTCTCAAATGCTAAAACACATTTCACAAACGTTTCGTCCATGTTCTCCAATGTCTAAACACAACACCCTTTTCTAAAGATACATAAACACAACCACACCTTCTCCCTTCAAAACTCAAACTTTCACACCAAAAGAGCAGCTCGAAGCTTTCAAAAATGTAAACACTATACACATCATTACACACTACAGCAAAACAATTGAAAACACAATGCTCAATTTGTGAGAAGGTTCGTTATTTCATAACTGCCAATGCATATTTTTAGAAACTTTACAGTAATGGATCTTCTTAGATCTCTGCAGAGGATTAGGCATTTAGATTTGTGAGTTTCGTATGAAGAGTATAAATCTATAGTAAATTCTGTACACTACTGTAACACAACTCAATGCAAAAACAGAATCTATTGCACACAACAGTACTCTTGAAAACATGATCAGGGTGTGAAGTTTTTTTTTTTTTTTTATTTACACCACAATCACTGTGCGGCATCATGTCGCTGAGCTGCATCGGGCCACATCACCTCATCCACATCGCAGGCTATATTGTCTCTTGCCAGGCACCGCAGGAAAAACACCCTGTAATGGCGGATCCATCCTTGGAAGTTCTCCACTGGGATGTCAACACACGCCAGCTCCATTGCCCTTAGGAGGTTCTCTCTAGTGTATGATTGTCTGTCTTAAACCTTCCATCTCCACGATGAGAAGAACTCCTCTATAGGGTTCAGGAAAGGGGAATAGGGTGGCAGACAGACGTTTAAAAAGTGGTTACTGTTGGTGGTGAACCACTCTCTGATTTGGGTTGTTCTGTGGAAGGGTACATTGTCCCAAATGATCACATAAATGGTATGTTCGGGCCCAGGATGGTGTTGTTGGTGGTCCATGAGGATATCTTTTAGCTCCTCTAGGAAGGTTAGGAGAGGAGCTAAAAGATATCCTCATCCAGGAAGAGGTACTCATGAGGTCTGGCCATCGCGTCCAACTGTAATATCCTCTGTGAAAATGTGAAAGTGCACAGGTGTTCAGAACAACAGTCAATCAGGTAGCATAGTATTGTCCAGAAGTAATGTAGGCCACTGAGCAACACAGTATGTTCACTAACTGTACTGTGAACATGGATGTATACTTACTTGCACATACTTGTAACGTAGGTCTTTGTGTCGCGCAGAGTTTCGCTCAAAGGGAACCCTATAGACTTGTTTCATCCGCATCTTTTGGCACCGGAGAACTCGGTCTATTGTGGCCAAGCTGACATCATCAATGCCCTTGGAGAAATACAAATTTGTCAAGTGTTTAATTTAGGTTTCCACTCCAATGGTATAAAAACTGATAAAGTCTCCAGCGAGAGTCTCCTTTCCCAATAGTCCTGTTTTTGATTGGATTAGCTATAAGGGAGACTTCCACCTTTTGTCTTTAATGGCTCTGGGATGGCTCTTTGGAACCAGAGTTCCTGGCCACTATCAGCATTTGAATAGTTGCTGATTCAATTGGATTGGTAATGGCCTCAGAGAGGGTGTGTTTCTATTTCATTTGCATGCTTTTGTTTCAGTTTTCTCCCCCCTCAATGTAAACTCCTCCCCTCTAAATGTATAAATTGTAAGGGAATGTTTTCCCTTAGTTAGACTATCCTTGAGATGACTACAGCGACGCAATAAAGAACTTCTTTATTGCGTGAAAGATACCTCAAAAGTCTCCTGGTCTGTTGCGTGGAAGAATAAAACTTCACAACAGTACGCATCACAATTGAGGAACACATTTGTTTAGAATGCTCCAATTTACTTAATATATCAGTTTATATTCTGTATTTGATAATGAATATCTATTATTTTTGGTTTTATAAATATTAACTGAAAACAATATAATGGACATTGATCTCTATCTGTGTTAATTTGACAGTATTAAAGGTGTATTGTGCAACATTTCATGTTAAAAATACCCGTTTTTCTAACCCATACATGCTTAAACAATTGCCTGATGGGCTGAATGAGCCCTTCTCTGATCACTGCGATTGCCTCTATAATCCTGTACAGTAAAATAAATAAGAGGGATTCGGGACGGAATTTGAGTCTGGCCGTGACGTCACGGCTCACCTATGTCTGGCAGGTTTGTGTATTCTCCGCCATTCTCCGTATCAGCAAAGACAACACTTTGAAAACACTCAAGACAACACTCGAGCGACACACTTTGGTCAACTTTCGACTAAAGTAGAAGATGGATTCAAAGAGACCAGCTTGTAGTTCATTCCAAACCCCTACGCAAACTCCACGTAAGACAAATAAAACAACAACTTTTGTCTAGTGCCAAAAAGGGCCAAATGGGCTTTATGCACAGCTGCACTACTTCCTGAACTTCAGCCAGCTCCTTGTTTCCTGTCTGCCATTATTGGAAAAAAATGATTAATTCAGGTGTGTCTGATTATTGTTGCCATGACTACTGAGGTCAAGCACACCTGAATTAATTAATGTGTCCAATAATGGCAGACAGGAAACAAGGAGCTGGATGAAATTCAGGAAGTAGTGAAGCTGTGCATAAAGCCAATTGGAGTCAGACAGGCGTCGGAATAAGACAAGAGTCAACATTGAGAAGGCTTTCAACAAATGTAGAGATCTCCGGTCTGCTCTAGGGCTTAAACGGGATCCTATACAAAGTACAAGAACAACTTATATTGTTCATGAATGCGTTTCCATAATAATACAATCATAAGTGGATACAGTAAGCACATAAAACAGTTCAACATGAGATAGATGGAAATAAAAAACGAAGTTTTCTACTAACCCCGTTTTCCCTCACACACACATAAGTGTCATTTACTCAAATGCTTTGTCTTTCATATATTTAAAATGACTTGCAGATTTATAACTTTATTACCTCTGAAGACATTATGACTGTAACAAAAGATTTGTGCAGCTGATGCTCCTTTGGTTATGAACAGCTCGTGCAAGCGTGCGGTCCATGAGCGTGCACACTGCTGGCTGCAGTTTCACTTGTCACCAGAGGGTGCATAGTTCTGCAAAAACTCTTTGTGCTATGCACCTTTAAGTAGTTTGGAGAAATACTGTATGTCTAATCAAACAATGTATTCTACATATTAAGGAATAAGTAAGCATAATTAGTCTAAATTAATCGCAATTTAATATTTTGTTGCAAATCTTGTCAGACTAATGAAATTCTTCTGCTGTGTGTGACTGTATTGATGTTCTTTAAACTGAAATGCCTCTTCCTGTCATTAACATTACATTAACAAAAGTCTTTTAGCCAGTTTTAGGTGTGGGCGATATGGTAAAAATATCATATAACAATGCCTTTTTCAGACAGGATCACATTCCATGGTCATATCATGATTCTTTTTTATGTTGGTTTTTAAGTCTATTTTGCAAGTTACTGAGTAGTTACAGCTAAACTTATTCCACCATTTTAAACATTTAGCCTTATTGGTAACAAAAGAGAAAAAAGAATGACAGACCATTTAAGGCCAAAGTGGGCGATTTGATCAAATTCTTCTTATTATTTGGTCTTCATTTATTCTATAATTTCTTCTTATTATCTTTGGTATTAAAAATAAGAATACAAATTACAAACAAGGACAAATACAATATAAGATACAAATGTATTTACTGTAAAAGTAGCATTCAAGAAAGGCAATGAATAAACAAATAAGTTCCTAAACCAAAAACCACAACCAAAAATACACAGCAAATGTTTCAACCCCTCAGCATCAGTAATCAGCCAGTTGAACAAGTCAATGTTTTTAAATACCTTGGGACAGAGATGGACACATCTCTGATAGAACTTCATACCCGGTCAGTATTGAGGAAAGCCACTACAATCACACAGGATCCCACCCACCCCCTTAACCAATCCTTTCAGTGAATGGCATCAGGTCGACGCTATACAGAGTCCCATTTGCAAGGAGAAACATATACAAAATCCTTTCATTCCTACGGCCATTACTATACTGAACAACCATAGATAGAACACATCATCACATTTTTGTATTTTGCATGTCTGTACAGCCAATGTGGCGAAATTGTCTTGTATCCTTGTCTTGAGTGTATCCATGTTCTTGTATGCGTTTTTATGTTATCTGAGCCGGTCTTGTCAAAGACAAATTTCTGTCACTTGTGACAGACATTAAAGTTTATCTTATCTTATCTATCTTCACTGTTTGAATTAAATATTCACTGATTCTGAAAGCTACCAAAGTTTTTCAGTCAAGATCAGTGAGTGATTTTCTCTTTGTTGTTTGATTAACATTGTTAACATCCTCTTAAGATACAGTATAATCGACTGTTTATGTAAACCTTGTGTATATGTTTGATTGTGTTAGCGCAATAAGATGCATAAGAGAACTTGTTCAGTACTCACTGGCTTTTAGTGTGCACACTCTTTGGGTTTACACTTTAGAAAAACCTATGTCAGTACAGCGTGTGAATAGAAAGTTTAACTAGCAATGCATTAAAACGCATGTAAACTGATGTTGTGATGGCGAAGAACTACAATGCCACATGAGCGTAACTAACTCTCGTAATGCCACATGAGCGCAAATCTCTGTGTTGCTAAACGTGATGGGAATGTTGTACAGTATGTTGGGACGGTGGTACCAGAACTGCAGTTGATAGAAGGTGCACTGTAGCACGATACTATGATTTTTTTCTTCAAAGGCAGATTGGAAAGACATTTTAATCATTGACAATCTAAAATCAGGATATCTCACACCCCTAGCCAGTGTAACCAATGCTGTATATTCTTCCTTGTTGTGTCTGATATTTGGGGTCTGTGTAAAGTACGTCATGGTCTAGTGATTGATCTCTCTCTTTCTCTCTTGCTCTCTCCTTTATCTCCAGGGCTGTTGAGAAGTTGACAGGCCACCGTTTTGAGAATCACTCCTTCAGTGTGTCGTACATACTGGACGAGGAGGCAGGAAGGGACGGGGGTGGAAGACCCCAGGTCCCGCGAGGGGCATCTAAAATGGGGACAGGAAGTCGGGAGCAGGAGTTTGGTCAGCCAGGGGCGATGGGAGGCCCCCAGGGACCGAGGCAGCGTCAGCAAGAACTGCCTCTAAGAATCCTAGTACCCACTCAGTTTGTGGGAGCCATCATTGGAAAAGAGGGACTCACCATAAAAAACATCACAAAGCAGACACAGTCCAAGTAAGAAGTCTTGATATTTTTTCAATCAGTACATATCTAATTATTAATTTGTTAAATATAATTGATAATTATAATTTAAAGATGTAATAGCTATTATAGTTTAATGTCTCTAAAACGATACACTGATGTGACATTTCTGTGCCGATAATCAACACCTTGCTATGGCTGAAACAATAATTGGTTTTACTTTTTGCATTTTAATCCTTCTAACTGCAGAAAAATCACCTACTTGATACATTTAAAAATGTAGAATTTGGATTTTGTAATGGTGGTTTAACCAATATATCATCGATGTTAGTCGGACCGACCAAACAACAACATACGTGTGTAGCCAATGAGCATTAGAGAGAACAAAAAAGAGGATGATGTGAAGGAAGACTACAGGAAGTAGAGATGAGACACAATACAAAAGAGAAAAGCTCAGAAGGAATCACTGGAAAATTAAGGGTTATGACTGGGCAAGAGCTTGTGGACCCGTGTTAATATTAGAAAAGCTGTCCAGCGCTGTGGAGAGCTAAAGCAAGAAGGCCTGAAAACAGGAGGTTGCTTTGATTCGGTCCCACACAAGACTAACACTGAGTTTGAGTGTCTTTGTGTGTCTGGTGTTATTGTGCTGTTGAATGGCAACTAACAACCAACTCTTGTTTGAAATTACTACTGTGTACTGCACGTTAATTTTTGGCGCTTCCTCGTCATTCGTTTATGATCTGTGGTTTATTTTTTGTGAAGCATTATTTTGTTGAGCTTCTGCTATGATGAACAAACATCCATTCTTGGATTGCGTGTGTAACGGAGGCCAGCTAGTGAGAGTCATGCTAATGACTGCATAATTGAGGGGTTTAGTCACAGCAGGGTGGTAACAGTTTTGGAGGTGGAGCATTGAAGAGAGGGGTGTGTTTGTTTGGGTGGATTTCAAATATCAATAATGTCCAATGTTTAAAAAAAAAAAGGTGCTTGCCCCACCTTTAATTATTGAAGGCGTGTCTGATAAGTGTATGAAGGAGGACTGAGAACTCTGCACCTGAGCTCAGACTATCTTTTTTTAATAGTTGTTTTGAATAATTGAAAGGCCACCATTACTTAAAGGGGGGGGTTGACTGCTTTTTTTCTTTGCATAATTGTGTTTATGGGGTGCAATATAACATGTATTCGAGGTTTTTATTTTTTAAAAAGTCTATTTTTTATAAACTTCACCTTTATTGTCAGCCGCGCTCTCCTCTGTCCTCGAACGAGCGGTTGACTTCCTGATTCTATGAAACCACTCCCTCAGAAACACGCTGTGGGCTCAGATTGGTTAGTTTGGTCCAGTGTGTTGTAATTGGCTAAACTGTCGTTCACGTTGTCTGGAAGGTTAACGCCCATTACCTTTACGAGCGAAACATGCATGTCATGAGCTCCGGTCCAGATGTAAATATGTGTCGAACTGCAGTATCAATTTGAGGCATAATCAGACCGAGAAAGCGGCGATGAAGAGAGTACACAGAACCTCACCACACACGGCTCTTACTAAACGTTTCTGAATGATAGTTTGCTAAATTTTTTACTTTATACACGTTTGTTTTACACAATAGCATCTGACTGGCAACGATAGCAACTGACTGGCTACTAATGTTATACTCAAACAGCGTCGGCATGTTTACATTCTTGATCAAATCGAAAATAACGTCATAAAATACATGAAAAATACATTTACATTAGTCCCTATACAAAATTCAGGTCCATAATGTTTGTACGCGTTTGTCGTAGACACAAAATAGCATAACTAGTAGCCAAGTGGCTATAAAGCCAGCGCTGGCATTTGAAAAAAATAAAACACAAGGCTACGTCTGGAATTATACATGCAAATACATTTAAAATGATGAAGTCTTAGCCTACTTACAGGTTGTGGCCCAACAACTGCTGCCTCTTGTTGTTGGAACTGCTTCATGTTTTAGTAACAGTTTCTTGTTGAATCCGGCATTGAATTCGTAGAGATTCTGGAAGCTGTCTTCCGTAAAATGCGCAGCACAGAGAGCTAAATTACGATCGTCATTTTCAGGAACGTAATCAAACATAAATTGTATCCATTGTTGATGAAGTACATGTACGTCCGTGGGAAGCCCGAACACAGAAGACCTGACACAGACAGCTGGATGAACACAACACACTCGACGTGCTCCAGAAATATGCGCATGCCCTTTCCTGCATATTCCGGAGGGAGGGTTGATGCAAATGTGTGGGTTAGTGACGTACCATAACCCAGCTGTATTCCCAATCGAGTCGTTTTTGTAGGCAATATACTTCCTGATTTTAAAAAGACGATATCTCTGCTTACATTGAACTTTCAGTGCTGCAACTTTGCAGATACTGTTCATGCACCAACAGCAACATTACACACTATTTAAAATGAAAAAAGTGAAATTGCAGTCAACTTCCCCTTTAATAAAGCCTTAATTAAGCCTTTTTAATATCTAAAGAACATTAAATGTCATAAACCTTACAAACTTTGCATGTCTTGATGTTACATCTTCAAGTGTGCCTGTATAAAGGTGCATATACACTGCAAGGATGGTCTTGCACAAGGGATCTATAGATCCATCCTTGCAGTGTATATGCACCTTTATACAGGCACACTTGAAGATGTGGACTGTAGCCAAATTCTACAGTCCACATCTAATTCACACAGCAAGCTTTTCACAGCAAAATTTGGCTGCCACTTGTAAGAGCAACTTTAAATCCTTCATTTTAAACAATGCTGTGCTTTATCCGGTTTGCTGTTACGTATGGAATATTGATTGTGTACATGGTTAACTTAAAATTAGCTTTAGTCCTTCTTTGAGAAAATATGAATGCCAGTGTGCACACAGTTTTTGTGTGTGTGAAATATACTATAATAGTATTACAGAATCAAAAAGGTTCTATGTATAAATCTTTTTTACAGATTTTTATCAATTTCATAGTATTTTTTTAAACTGATTTAGCTTTTAATAGTTATTTATTTCTAAACATGTTATCAAATATTACGCAAATGAAGCATAATAATGCAATGAGCATATTTGTTTCACAAACTACAGCAAATATTTGTACGTATCAAACCCTTTCGCACAAATTGATGGAATAAACCTGCAGGATTCTTGGGGGTTGTTTTTCTTGTTTGACTAATTTAAAATTGAAACTGAAATCTTAAAAATGCTGCATCTAGTCATTCTTATCCCAGAGTAAGTCCATACATACCCTTCTCATCTCGGTGCGTGCTGTTTCTCTGACTCACCCACTGCTAGCCTAGCAAACTATATAGATTTGGGTGTTTGAGATTAGTGTGACTGAATCTCTTTTCTTTGTATGACACATTTACAGCTGAACAGCTCTATCCTGAACATGAGAATTAATTTCATGATTTAATTATGTGTCACAGAACAGAAGAGAGACTCTCTGGCGTGCGCGTAAACGTCACAACCTTTTGGACTTTCCGGCAAAAATGTCCAGAGTACTACACATATCAGTCTGCCTTTCATAGAGAAGTTTTTTTAAGTTTTTTACAAGCTGTTCACACATTGGCAACTAAAAAAGTGATTAATACATGTAAAATAATATAAAAGTGAAATGTTCATTTCTTTTGTAATTTGCAAATAATACATTTGCTACCCATACCCAAATGTTATTGACACGACAGCCATTGGCATTGATCCTCAGCAAACCCGTCTCCATAACGGCGTGACTCCGATCTTCAACCAGATGGAACTGGGTAATATTCTGATTGTTCCAAACCAATCTGACTTCCGACCTATAATGCTGCCTGAATCATAATCATATGCTGTTCGTTCATTGGCCAGAGGAGAACTCCCAACCCAAACCATCTTCTTCTTTTTGCTCAAACCATATTCAAAAATGTGATAAATTCCATCCTTCTCTCTCTGTCTCAGGGTCGATATCCATCGTAAAGAGAATGCTGGGGCGACTGAGAAGGCCATCACTATCCATTCATCTAAAGAGGGCTGTTCACAAGCCTGCAGGATGATCCTGGAAATCATGGAAAAAGAGGCTAATGACACCAAGATGTCAGTATTTCATCTGACTGTAGGGCATATTTAAGTTTTACGTGCTTCATTCGCTTAAGGATTTTTTTTTTTAAACCATGTATATATGTAAATAAGCTTATGGTGTAAGTACAAACTGCACCAGCTCAAAATATAAATAAATAAATAAATAAATGCATGAATAAACAAACAAACAATATTGTGTACTTTGTCTCTGTGACAGTGTTGAGGAGGTTCCTCTGAAGATCTTGGCCCACAATAGTCTTGTTGGGAGACTCATAGGGAAGGAGGGCAGGAACCTGAAGAAGATAGAGCAAGATACAGGGACCAAGATCACCATTTCTGCGTAAGTGTGTTCTACAACAATTAAAACTGTGAACAATGTCTTTTATTGGGGTGTAATGATTCACTCATTTCCTCTATGCATATTTAAATATATTTAATTTACAATATTAATTAATATTTAATTTATAATTACAAATCTTGCTGAAGCTTATGCATTGATCTTGAAACATGGATTTTTTTAATCGGGAATTATTTGTTTCATTCAGTAATCGATTTAAAATGCTAAGAATTGATAGTGATTTAATATATAAATATTTATTATAAATTATATTATTGCATGGAAATTCACTGTTATTTTCTATTAGATAAAATACTCAAATTTTACTGGTATTATTATTTAGGCAAGCAGAAGGCATTTAGGCATTTAACTCTTTCCAGTGTTTCCTCTAGGATTTTTTTGGGGGGAGGGGGTGTGGCCCATGAGTGATATACCCATGGGCGATATACCCGTGGGCCACGCACGGTCCCTTGTGCCAGGTGTTTAAACAGGCTGTAATATAACAGAAGCCTGTGAGAAAGGAATATGATTTAGAAAGCACAATGAACTCCAGTAAGAAAAAGTATTTTTATGCAAACCATAGACCTTTATTTACAAATAAAAAATAATAATGGGAACATTGATCTTGCGTAACCGAACGTGGAGTGCTGTTTGAGGAGCTGAATGACTGAGGACAGATGAGTTTCCATTCACTTTAACTTAATGACTTAAATATTCATTTTTAACTCACATTATGCTATCAAATGACTTTAGAAGTATTGGAATATAGTGCACAGAAACTTTATGGTTCTTTACAATGTTTATTTTGTATGCCTTTAGTGGGGCTTAACAAATAACACAATACTATGCACAATACTGGACCTCACTGAGAAGCTGCAGCTGTGGTGGGATGATTTTTGGTGTTGGCGGACCACCACGGCAGAATGAATGTACCGGAAATACTGTCTTTACACACCTGCATTTTTTTTTCAAGTTGCCAGCCACCGCTAACATTTTTGATCATTCATGGCCCACAGAATATTTTGTTATATGAATATTTGAACATGTAATATATCAAAAGAAAGAATGGACCATCTGCTTTTAAACAACAACAACAACGAAAAAAAAACATTTCTTCTAGCTTAGTGCAATCTTTTTTAATCAACACTTGAATGTTGGTAAGTTTCATAAAAAAAAACAAAAACATTTTGAGCAAAAAGCTAAAGATAAAAACCTGTTTTTGTCAAAGACTACATCCAAATTGTATTCATAATGATAATCAAAACTAAAAAATATGCTGTTTAATGTCGATGATCACGTTATTTTGCATCTGCTTACATATGCTATTGCTTTTTTTGATCAGAAGATGTGGCAAGTCTGTGTTCCCCTGTCTCCTCACATGTTTTCAGTTCCCCATTAGTTTGATTAGTCTCCCCAGGTGTTTCTCGTTAACCACACCCCCTTGTTATCTTGTCTAGCTTGTTTTCCCCTGTATTTATACCCCTGTAGTTTAGTTGTTCCTGGGGCCGTTTCAATAAGGAGGTTCAACCAATTCTGAGTTAAAGCTTGAACTCTAAGTCGACTTACCCTGAGATAGGAAACTCTGAGTTTTCGGTTACAGAACAGCTGAAATTAGTTGGTTCAATCAACTCTGAGTTGACTGACTCTGAGTTAAGTGCGTGCACCACAACTATAAAAAGCCATTATCAATGGAGCGCAGATATTATGAGTCACCATGGCAACAGTAATTAATTACCAAGTAATCTAAATATTGTAATTTAATTAAAGGGATTACTCTTAAATCTTCTGTAATTTAAAATAAAATATGATACATTTACATTAAATAGGCTACTGCATAAACTATAGACCAATTCAGTATAAAACAATAGTGGATTTAACATACATTTTTAAAAGGTATATTTTTATTTAACCTTCTCCCTCTACACACTTTGATCAATTCAAGAATAATTCATGCAATTGTATATTGTTAATTTGAAAGAATTAAAAGTGCAGTTTCTTGTTTCTCCTCCTTGTATTGTTCAAGTGGTTGAGGTTGATATAGGATTTAGCAATTAGTAATATGTAGACCAATACTTTCTAGAGTTAGAAATCATTACATTAATCTAACTACACCATTGAAGATGTCATTTATAGTTAATAATTCATAACTATTTTAGAGTAACTTAGTAGCCTAAAGTAGGCTACTATTACTTTGATACATTTTTACTTAAGTAAATGTAAAAACACCAGTCTAAAAATCTACTCAAGTAAAAAGTTTTTAATTTAAAACATCAGTAAAAGTTGCTGAGTAACTTGTTTAACAGCGGGGGTGGTGTGGGGGGTTGTAACGTATGAGAGTTTCACAGTATGATAACCGTCTCATAAAATATCACGGTTTATGGTATTAAACAATTATTAAATATAAACTGCATTATTAAATTACGGTTATTATTATCATCAGTTAAAATGACAGTTAAATAAATTAAACATTTGTTCAATAAAACATATCTAATCAACTAACTTCAATAATTGATTATGAATAAGATGAACATCTTATTTTTTATCATTAGTAACTTATTAAATTATGTTTGAAAAATAATTGAGTTCTATTAAATGTTTTTTATTCCAATTTTTTTCATGACTTAATAGAAATATATAATCAAAAACGGTGGTAATCAAATAAAAATTTAAGCCTGGCTTTTGAAATCTGGTTGCAGCTCACACTTAAAGAGAATCTTTGCAGATTTTCTTCCCTCAAATCTTAAACATGCTCACACTACAAGATGTGAAAATCGCGATGCATCACACACTACACAATGTTATTAAGATTATTGTGCCAGAGGAAATGGCTCACGTGATCTCACGCAGCAGATCGGAAGCAGAAAAGCGGATGTAACAAAATAGCTGTCCCCCATATCAAGTCATTGATCTCAATGAAGTGAAAGAAGCATCAGTTTCGCGTTGCCCATGCGCCGCAATGCTGCTGAGCCTTGTAAAGTGGAGCTCAAAGTTAAAATTAAATATTAAAATAAATAACAGCTTGTTTCATTACATCTATATTTGAATGAATCTGCATTTTTATATTTTCGTTGAATGAACAGTTTAATGACTCACTTAAAGACAGTCCCTTGTCGCCACCTAGTGGCGTAACAATCTAATTGGACTGAGCGACAGTCTGTCTGTTACACGCAGAGACGAGCAATGCCAAGTGGTAAAATATCAGCAGAAAGCCTTTAGTAAAGTGAGATTAGAGGATCGAAACTAACTGTTATATGGCATAAAAAGCATATTGTCAGGTTTATGTTCTGTTATTATACTATGTGGACCCTTATTTTGACATTGTATCTTCTACTCCACTTCGTTTCAATGCGCTATTTAGTTTCGGTTTCCATTACTGAACATTTACTCGTCTTCGTGCCTGCTGACCACAGCACAACACTTATTTATTTAGCAATAAATAAATAAATGAAGATAATACTGCATATCGCGCTGTCGAGTCACTCAAAATTTCAACAATGGAAATTCTTTCACCACGACAGCGTTGTTTCTTATTGGCTAGACAGTTGACGTTAATCACAATCTTGCTCATCCCAATAAATATCAAACATGTTTGATATGATTGGAGCGAGCCCGATTTGTGTGAGAGCAGATCGGGAGGTGCAAAATCTGTGAACGCCTCACATTACCAGATAATCTGTGCCAAACATCGGAACCGATCGAGGTCCTCGACAGGGCGTTAAATTATCCAAAAAATAATGCACACCCGAGGTGTAACGGCCACTCCACTTCGCGTCGTGACCGCATTACCACCTCGTGTGTGCATTATTTTTCTATTAATTCAACGGCCTGTCGTCCCTTGAATTATTCCTTACTTAAATATGGGTATTTTCCTTAGACAAATGCATGGCTTCACTTCAGAAGGCTTTTATTAACCCCCTAGAGCCATATGGATTACTTTTATAATGGATGGATGCACTTTTTTGGGCTTAAATTTTTTCCAGCCATTGACTCCCATTATAAAGCTTGAAGGAGCCAGGACATTTTTTTAATATAACTCTGATTGTATTCGTCTGAAAGAAGAATATACACCTAATTTTCATTTTGGGGTGAACTATCCCTTTAAGAAAGAATAACAGATCTGGGGCCGTATTCACAAAGAATTTAGGTCACACTAAAATATTTTAGCTAGGAGTTTTCTCTTAAAAGTTATTCACAATGCCTTGCAGACATACTCTTAGGAAGGAAAAATGACAACCCCTAAACTAAGAGTGAGTCTTCGTTGCTATGGATTACATCAATTCTCATGCACGAGCTTCCTCACAATGATCACGGTGATTGCAACGTCTAAATATGTCTGTGTCCTACACAAAATAATAATAGTAATGTCATTGAAATGCATATTATGTTTGTGCAGGCCCCAGTGAAGTGTAATTCTAAAAAAGGCAGAGAGAGTAAAGTTGTGAATTCAATTACATTAAATCAAGGTAGCCAAATACACTAATGAAAACCGCCACTTGCCTAATAATGAAAAACGACACTTGCATTAACACCTAATGCAAGCCTAAATAGACTACTTAAAGTCGGTGTATGAGTGAGTGAGTGGGTGAATGTGAGGCATAAATGTAAGGCGTGGCCACTGGGTCTGTGAAAGCGCTATATAAATGCAGTCAATTTACAATTTAAAGCAAGGAAATGTTGCCCTTTCTGAAGTAAAGTAATAGTTGAATGACAGTGGATTATGAACTCGCCAAAACAGAAAAGAAAGCCCAACTGGACCCAGTTACTGCTGCTGGCCCAGTTGGTGCTGGAAAAAATAAATAAATAAATAAATAAAAGGGAAATTTGGCACTGGGATATCAAGCAAAACTAAGCACGAGACATGGGAAATGATTTGTTTGCAGATCAATGCAGCATTCCCACTTGTGTCGCGGATTCCGGGCGACTGCGAGAGGCGGCGGTATGCTCTACAATCCTTTGTGAATAGGTCTTAGTGAGTTAGTAGTCCTCTCGACGACTTTTAAGCTGTCCCAGACTTAGGTGCTACTCCTGTTAGGGCAAAAATGCTTCGTGAATTACTCTTAGTGAAAAAAATTAGGAGTCCTAAAGTTAGGAGTGACACGCCCATTATTTTTAGGAGTTGCAGCATCATTAAGAACTCCGTAATCATTAAGAAGAATATCTGACCGCCCTGAATAGAAGGTCACTGTGTAATTCGCATCCTGCTTAAGACACGTTAGGGTAAGCAATTGAATTAACTTAGAATTACAAATAATACAGAATTAAATCATTAATTTAAATCAGATCTCATTGGGAACTGAATTGAATTCTTCTGAATTGGCATAAATTGTTCTAGAATCGATTGGAAAACCTATGAATCGTGGAACCAATCGATTTGCTGTCTACTGAAAGATTCACACCCCTTGTCTCATAGGAACCTAGTAAAGAGATTGGGTTTAATTGTTAATGTATTGAATGTTCATCTCATGTGACAATGCTTATTTCCTTAAATGTGTGCAGATTACAAGACCTGACGATGTATAACCAGGAACGTACCATCACTGTGAGGGGAGGAGTGGAAGATTGTTGTAATGCAGAAATGGAGATCATGAAGAAACTTTCAGAAGCCCATGAGAATGATGTAGCTTCACTTAATGTAAGTAAATCATCGTTTTAGAGGTTACAGTTTATTGGTGGATGGATGTTAGTTTGTGGAGATTAGTGTGTCTGGAGATTTCAAGTCGTTTTGAAACAACATGGATTGTGACTTGATACTTTTAAAATAGAGTTTTATACCCTATTTAGATATGAAATATAAAGAGGTATGAATTTTAATGGACGTGCTCCAAATTGTACTGTTTGCTGCTCAGAGTGTTTTGTTTATCTAACCTGACCTGAACGGACCTCTGTGCAGTTATTTGGCAGTTTGCGCTCTATGGAAATCTGTTGAGTTGCTGTCAAAAGTAAAAAAAAAAAAATATATATATATATATATATATATATATATATATATATCAGTGTTTCCTCTAGGATTTTTCCAAGCTGTGGGGGCAGGCCCATTTCCCCGGTGGGGGGGCCTTGTCTCCCCAAAGTATTATAATCGATCATGCGCATCCCGTGTGCAGAATGATGCACTTGAAGCAACACCAAGTCACAGCAAGCAATGCTTCACATTGAAAAGAACATAGCGAAGGGATTATATCTATAATATGCTTAGTAGGGCTGCACGATTTGGGGAAAATGTCATATTGCCATTGCAATTACTGAGGTCAATATTGCAAGTGTGATATGCGATTCCGATATAATAAAATGGTTTCATGAGTCCAACTTGCTTGGTTCTAAAGTAAAATGCACACACAGATTAGTGATCATTCTGTGTATTAATGTTTATTTCTCAACTCAAACTACAGACAACAACTAAATGATTGATAACACCTATAATGATCAATAAACCATCAACCAAACCATCATTACAGTGAAAGCTATCAACTTTTTAAAAAAAATTATTAGGCTAAAAAAAAAATTTAACAACTTTTAAATTAAGTGAACTTCAAACAATCCCCACATAAACCCATAATAAAAACCATATTTACCTGTGCCCTTCCTGTCTTAACAGGTAGGATACAGAAATTGAATAAAGTTATCAAACAGTCTGTGCTGCATGAATTATAAATTATATATAGAATAATCCTTATTAAAGCTACAAAAGTTCTTTAGTCAAGATCAGTGAGTAATTGTCTAATTTCCCTTTGTTCTTTTAACTTGACTGACAGAACGCTTTATTCGCCGCTGGCCCTTTAAGAGCACCCGTTGCCGAGACGCGGATCTCACATGCCTCATAGCACAACTCTTTTCATCCTTAAGACTTTTCTTACGTTATGAAGATACTCGACAAAACGACATTTTGGCATAATTGTGTGTGTTATTGTTTGTTCAAGCTCGAAAGAGAACTGTATTCTGGCACGCGTCAGTGCATGCGCATTATGGCGCGCGTCTTTCTGCGAGTCTCATTTAGGGCACTCACAGGCAGCTTTTCAGTTCTTGTCGTGCAAAATGCGAAAAGGCATTTGCACGAATAAGAGCAGGATCGTGTAACACTAGTCAAAGGATGACAAAAAAGAAGAGATGCTGCGTTAATAGCCCTAATTTGTTTATTTCATATAAAATCGCGGCATTTTGCGTTATATAATTGCATAGGTTTGAGATCGCTATTACGATTGCGATATGATTAATCGTGCAGCACTAATGCTTAGTGTATTCTATATGCAACAGTTTTTTGAGCCTTTTCTTTTAACAGTTTTAAATTTCAGTGCGCATATAGCACTCTCTCGACTCCATGCTGTAATCTTACATAAAGGGAATGTGAAAGGTATGGGCAATAAACTCCACTCCAGCAAGATAAAGTCATTTTATGAAAACCATAGACCTTTATGCTTTATCTACACATGAAGTATAATAATGGGAATATTGACCTTGAAGAGAGTGTCGTCGTGTCGCAAACGAACGCGACGCGCTGTGTGAATTCTGAATGGAGAATGACTGAGGCGAGATGACTTTCCGTTAACTTTAACTTAGTGACTAAAATTACACATTATGCAATGACTTTAGAAGTCTTGGATATAGGGTGAAAACTTGATTGTGCTTTACAAAGTTTTTTATGCCTTTAGTGGGGCTTAACAAAATAACATAATACTATGCAGAATATCGGACGTCACTGAGAAGCTGCAGCCGTGGCGGGAGGATTTTAAGTGTGGCGGCCCGCCACGGGAGAATGAATGTAGAGGAAACACTGTATATATTGGGGGTGTAACTGTTCACAAAATTCATGGTTCGGTTCGATACGGTTCGGTACTTTTCAAATACAGCAAAAAGAAAAAACTGGCAGAGAAATTTCCTTGATTTAATTTTTTTAATTATATTCTTATTAAAACCAACATCATAAAGTATGATATTTTTTTAACTTTGAGCAATGATGTAGCTATACTTGACTTTTTTTTAGGAGCATATAAAACAAAACAGCTCCTAAATGAAATGTAATATTGTAATAGTTAAAAACAAAGGTTTATTTTAGTTTAGATTAACATTTGAGGGCAGCAGTTGTATTGATAATGTCAAAATACAACCGACGTGATGTTACTTGAAAGCATTATGGCCTACTATTCCTGCCAAACTTACAGATAGTGTTGTACAGTAAATCCATGGTAAATGTTGCTGATCTGTGGACACTGATAGTTCATTCATGGCACAATGTTTCTTCCTGGTTTCCACGTCAGCGCTGTTTGATCCGTTAATAATGGAGAAATGTGAATGTTTCTCACTAGTTCTCGCAGCGATGTTAACTTCAGTGGCGAATTCAAATGTTTTCTTTAGTGGATTTGGCTGTGTAGTAACTGTTGATCAAGATAGGCTCGCGCTTCACTGGTCCAAACTGATAAACGGTCCGTCATCCAGACAACCACACAATAACGAGTAGCTCAGTTTCGGTCCGCTTACATTACATTATGCCATTTGATGTTGGGCAATGTTGTGGTCACGCCAGCATCTCTTACATTATGAGTACGCTTGCCACGCGCCTACATTTGAAATAACGAAATGTTGGTCGGCAGGAAAAATGAACCGTTCGTTCGGTTCAAAAATGCGTACCGAAAACCGAACCGAAAGCCTCGTACTGAACGGTTCAATACCAATACGTGTATCGTTACACCCCTAATATATGTATATATATGAAGAGTTTGGTTCCAAAACGCTATAAATCCATTTAGATGAATTTGAGTAAAACTGTTTTCTTTAGC